TAATAATTATGGAACACTACTAGCTTATCTGGTACACGCTTTGGTAAACTGAAGTTTGGACGAAAACGACCTCATATTTATACATTACCTCGATTTTTCAGAAATGTTGCACAATTATAAAAACTTACTTTTAATTGCAGTAAGCGTAATATGTAGCACAGAAAGTTAGTTAAGCAGAAATTTTCGAATAATCAACGAATTTTCATTATAACCCATTTTATCAGAAACAAAAATCAATAACTCGCTACCAACTCCCCCAGGTTAATCAAGGAGATAAAGAAAAACACAACACAACCCGTAAAAATGAGTTCATGAAATGCAAACTGTTTGCCAAGTTATTAACAAAAATTTAGTTCACAAAGGACTTTTTGAATGAATTATTGATACTACCACAGATATGCTATAAGACTGCGATCCACAGAAATGATAGGTTTTTCCTTTGCATATAAAAAACTTCAAAATATAGTTGTTTTCACAAAACTTACCTACACATATTCTATAAAACTTTTCTGTTTACGCCATAAATAAATTAATTTAAATTTCATAATTTTTATGTATCACTTATTTTTATAAAAAGAAATAAAGAGCGTCATAAATAGCAATAAAAGCGCTAACACCTAAGGCTTGCGTTACTTTCTAAAATCAACAAGCATTTGAAGTAAGTGTAAAACATGAACTATACATATAAATATAAGTAAACAAGTATGTAAGTTTTCTAAGAAGATAAAAACAACAAGTAAGAAAATTATATTCGGTCGTGGTCGAATCTTTTAGATCCATCACCGTTATTCTAATAAAGACTTGAAAAAAGCGAAAATGTAACGGTTTACTAACTATAATCTTCTGTGCACCTAACTGATTTTTTTTATTTTTGTGCCTATGGATACGACTACCATAGTAGTGAACAGAAAAATGGACTCACATTTGATATGTAGACTTTGTAGGAACCTGAAGCTTCTTTGCAGACGCTGTAAGCTAAAAGAATGAAGTTTCAATATTCTATAGTAATGGGTAGACGTGGCCGATTTTTCCCATATTTGTGCAATTGCTCAGAGGCTGCATAGAATGTAAATGCAAATTTTTATCGTTGTATATATTACGGCTTGCAAGTAATAAGCAAAAACTCTTCGCATTTTTATTTTGGAAAACAGACCTGGTCATTGACAGTAGTGTATTGTGGGCATATCCTTTAACTGATTTGACCCAGTATCACCATCTAGGTGTGGAAAATTCCAACGTCTCCGCCATATTTGAAGCCGATAACTTCCTGCTTGCAAGAATGTTTACCACATACATTACACAGCCCGACAGACTGACGGATAGAGAGAATTTAGAATTTGACACTCATCATATACATATATACTTTATGAGGCTTCTAAAGCTTCTTTGGGAGTCTTGCAAATGTTTTCACAAAATGAAAGTATACCTCATCCTTCCGTGATGGGCTTGAAAAAATAAACATAAAAGTGGATTGAGTGGTGATGGCCACTTTACGGAACATAATTTTCGTAGAATTCAGCAAAGCAGAAAACCAATGGAATTTAGTTCGTATCCTATTTGTAAATGGTACGATAAAATTTATGTACTCATATATTTGCTTGAGCATAAGTGTTCTTTATGTCGTACGCCAATTTTCGCTCAATAATAAAGAACAAGAAAAAAAGCTATTGCAGAGGCAAAAATCATTTAACGAGAAAACATTTTGTTTTATGAAACAACATCGTCCACGAAAGATGGCCGACTTGCATAGTAACATTGCAAAACTAAAAGTTTTTTAAAATATTCTTCTTGACAAAGCAGGCGAAGCATTACTCCATAAATCGAAATCATCTGCGAAGCACTTTTCCCAAGTTGAGTCTTTAGCTTTGTCTCTGCTGTTTTCATCATTAATCTTAATATTTTTGAAACGCGATGACCAAATGGTTAAAGCAAGGTAGTCTACAAAATTTATTTGAAAAATGCGCGCAGTAACTGAACTGAATGATAACAATTAAGGCTTCTCTTTGATTTGTGAGAGTTACCAACTTTTCGAAGAACTCACTAAAATGTATTTTCTTGTAGGTGCACAAAGTCTTTGCCGTTAATGTTTTTGTTACTATAGCCTAATATTGCTAATATTAAAAATTAATTCGGGCGTTTAGTAGGGCCAGACTTATTTAATCTTAGGTTTTTAATTTTACTATTGTTAGCCAGAATTCCGCATGCGCACAAGCATATAGTGTAGCGATACTAACGATATAATAAATAATATTAATTGTTACCGATCTGTCAATTGTATATGTTAACCATATCTGTTCAATTGTATATAAGTACATAGCTGTGCATTTGTTTCTTCGAAAACCACTAATATTTTGTATATCTATGAGGAGGAATATAAGCCGCGCACTCTGCCACGTATGATGCAATCACTAGTCAATGAAATCGTAACGAACGCAAAAAAATTGTCATAAGAAAATGTATTACGAGAGCATGTGAAGTTAGATAGCTGCAGTTGCAGTTAGTATGGGTTTTATTTATTTATTTTTGTTATTGTTATTATTATATTTTTTTTTATTTTTTCGCTTTTTAACATCAATAATACAAAGTTTGCTTTAGTTTTTACTGGTAAGCATAACGATGAATTGTGGTCAACCATGAAGACGACGTATTGCTACACCTTTTTTTTTTTTTTTTTTTGTTTCTACGAAATCGTTCAATTGTTGTTGTTGGTTACCATAATGTTCTGTTTTTCTTTGATCTCTGGTTTGCATCAGTTGTGTTTAATTAATTAAAAACAAAATATTTCTTCGTGGTTTTTAAAAGAGTGATCCGCGATAAAACTTTTTAATTAAATGCAATTGACTTTAGTCCACTTTTAGATTTAATTGACCTTAAATTGAAGATAAAAAGAAAAAATTTCATACACAGTTGGAAGTAATTTTTTCTCATACCTCTCCCGTAAGCGCACAAGCGATTCGAAAATTAACCAAGTTATTTAAATAAATCGTTAGTTAGATAAGATTTGTGATCAATGAATCTTGTCATCGTTGTAATTTCTTTAAGAAATTACTAAAGTTTTGCCGATAAAGGCATCACGAATATATTATTCAGTCCGCTACACATATATGTATATATATAAATGGTTTGTTTTATTTTTCCTATAGAGGTGGACGGAGCTACATAAGGCCTCCTTGAGATATTCAAAGCTTCATTACACTACACTATGTATTTCTATACAAAACCAATCAATTTTATTTTTCTTTATATCCGTAAAAACGAAAGCGTCATAAACTTTTAAAAGTATTTAGGCCTTGTACGGAGAGACCTTGGTAAACCAATGTTCGCAGTAAATTTTTTTTCAAATTTCCTTCCCGGTATTTCAATCTCCAAAAGTGTTTTCTTCGCTTATCGAAATTATTTTGAGTAAATATTCTATGGGTCCGTAATTAGCAAAAAAAGCCCTTAAGTCTAGTGATAAGTGATCAAGGATCATCTTCGAGACATTTCGAGCCTTCTCTTATCTAGTAATTTCAAACCCAGTTATTTGTTCTTTTCGTAATATATCTATCCGAAATTTTCAATCCTGGTAAAAGTGAGATCTTTTCACAAAAACACTAAATCGTTAATTACTTCTTCTCGTTACATTATCAATAGTAAGAAAATGCCTAAAATCATATTTTCCCCTTACTTTTTAGTAGTACATTCATTAGCAACAGAAATTTGCTTCTTATTGACAAAATGTTGACAACATTATACAAATTAAAATTGTTTTATTCGTAATTGCAAAAAAATGCACTCTACAACGAATCTTGACTACTTGCTAGATACTAACAACTAAGCAACTGACACTCGGTATGTAAAGAGATGTATTTTAGTTTACAAGGTAAAAACCTTTGATTGAAGTCGAATCGGCTTTTACTTAACTGATATTTAGCGAATATCTATATCCGAAATTAAGACTCGTTGGCGAAAACTAGAAATATTATTACGGTTATGATCAAATCGAAGTTTCAAATAACTTCAAATTGGTGTATAACACTATTCGATTCAAACCATGACTCTAACCAACAATTTTAATAAGCTGAGCAGACTCCTTATTTTCTTCCGATCTATACGGAGCTATAATATTCAAGTAACGTTTTAATTTTCATAAGGCGCTGTAGAAAAGAGTAAACGAACGTTTCTTTTTAATAGGCTTTCCGAATTTGGAGAATACTTATATTTTTTTGAAAAGTGCAAGACAACAACAGCAGCTGATTAAAAATCGAAAACGGCAAGAAAGTCTTTGTGAAAAATTTTGCACTTCGATGTTGTCACATTATAACCTACTTTTTAGATCAACAACAATAACACGCAACCTGGAATACCAACAACTAACTGGTTGAAACTGTAGAGAGACTGTAAAAATTTTCTATGGTGACTTGAAATAATTAAAGAAAATTCAAGTTTCGCTTTTTGCTTACAAAAGCGCTGAAGAATTTTCAAAGAAATTTTATCGGGCCAAAGTTTTAAAGAAAAAGCAAAACAAAAAATGTAGGCTACTAAGCCAATCGCACTAACTAATACTAATGCTAACACTACTACTTTGACGAACTTTTCCACTTGAAGCTGAAAATGTAGTGGTAATAAATCTATAAGGGTGTTAGTGAAGCGGGCAAACTTATAGCAAGGCACACATACATTCAAAGCAAAATGTTTCTGTATTGGTTGCAAGCGAAACGGATTAGTTTTAGTGAGATTCAAATTTATCAAAGCTTTTTCGTTGTATCATCAGTTTCACTCTCAAATTCAAAAAATTTGAATTAAAGCTTTTTTCTGCATGCAATTGCAATTTATAAATTTTCAATGAAATTTTTTTGATTTTCTGTACTCCCGCTCTTTACTCACTGCTTCAATTCGATACCAACAGAAAAAAACTAATTTCAACAAAAATTTTCAACTCATTTTTTTAACGCTTTCGGCTTTAATGGCAACAAATTGTGTGGCGTATATAAGCCACCAACTGACCATAGACAGCATCCAGTCAAAGGTTTGGAATCGTAGCGGATTCTTCAAATCCTTTATTTTCCATATATTTAAAAAAAAAAACTAATTAGAAGAAGAAGACTGTGTTTGTGTTGTTAATTTTAAGGTGCTTTATACAAAAAACAAAAAAGAAAAATATCTTTACTTTATTAAAAACACACAAAAAATTAAAAAATAAAAAAACAAATTGTGTTGCTTTCAATATTAATAATATGTGTTTAATTTTTTTTTTTTTATTACTATTTTATAGTGAGCCGCTGACTTTGTTTTAATATTGGGATAGTGAATAAAACATTAAAACATGAAGTTATTTGTAAGTATTAATCAGAAAAGAGACAAAACTGAATCATAAAAATGAAATGGAATTTTAAGCTTGAGAGCCATTTGTATAATTTGTTTTTTTAAACTTTCTTAATTTAAGAGGCATTCAAAATTGGTTTGTTTGCACAAATTTTAATATGATGATTTAGTTATGAAAATCTTGGAAAAAAGTTAATAAAATTTCATTTTATTCTTTAAATAAAATTTTGTTCAATATATATATTCAAAATTTATTAATTATTTATTTGTATGCACGTTAAATAGAGATTTAAGTTAAGCTTAATACAAAAAAAAGTACAAAATTTAAAATACAAATTTATCTTCAAAATAAACAATTAGACGCTTTTCACAATTACTTAAATATAGTATATAGTTTCGTTTATTTTGGATTACGAAAATGTATAACTTTTTCAAAATTTGTTTTTAAAGCAAATTAATCATCCCTTATACGATTGATTCTAACTTTGAATATCTGATATAGATATTAGTATTTTAGAAATACTAGTATTTCATTACCTTCAAATGTTCTATTAAAAATTTATTAATCCATCTGTACAGCTTAATCTGCAAGCAAACGAGGTATCATCAAATATAGGCATTCTTGATCTAACTAAGAGTCTAAAACCGATTTACCTCTACTCATTCTTCTGTTCCATTGTGTCGGGAACTTTAAATGCCGCAAAAATTGAAACCAAGAATTAAAACTTAGCACTTACGAACTTTTACGTCATTTCTACAGATTACGTACAAAAGAAAAAATCGTATGCCCTTATCGATCTCGATTCAGCTTTTGTGCACGTATTTTCACAAAAATCATATCACAGACCGAACGAACACTGTCCTAAATGAGGTGGAATTATAAAGATGAAAAACGTTCTCAACAAGCGACTCATAAGTAACTCCTTCGTTAGCTCTTCGTTTATGAACATTTTCATTTTGCACATGCACTTAATTTCAGCCGCTATATACATACGTTTCCCTAATTTTATATTCAATTATTGGTTTTCTACTGGTATTAATTTTGAATTGAAAAATTAAAACTATTCTTATTTCGACTTTTATGAAGAGACATTCTGAGCAGGTATGCTTGTCTGTTTATGTACATTCAAATATGGCTCTCAAAATTGCAGAAAGCAAAGTCGACAAGTCTTAAAACTTCTCTTTCAACTTTCGCCATTTCGTTTGCACAACCGATCCAAAGCTTTGAAGTTTCTTCCCTGATAAAACTTTCAAATCAAATCGAAAAATGTGCTAAATTACCTTAAAAATTCGCTGCTTTAGAAAACAAAGTACACATAAGTAAAGAATACGTACATTAAAACTTCATTTTTGTGTTTTTATTAAAAAGCCAGTTGCGAGTGGAAGGTCTTGAATGTTTCATTCCATTAGACGCTAAATACTAAAATTATATTAGCAAGTAGGAGTTGTCTGATATTTCGAAAATACAGGTTTTGAATCTAATGCAAAAGAAGGTTATTAAACCTGCTCTCGATAAATAAGATAACACTCAATTCTTATTTACTCTGTCTCCTCTTCCTTTCCCTTCCCATTATTCTAAGCAAATACAAGTTATGTCCATAAAAAAAATTTTAAGTAATAATAAAAAGTAGAAATCAAGATCAACCACTTGATTATCAATTATGATTTTAGTTATTTAGTACTAATTAGTAAATTATTGCTTAAATTTAAACGATATTTTTTTTTTAAAAATGCGCGAGTAGCAATAAATTGTACTTTCTTTTCACTGTAAGCATGGTATAATTACTAAACTGCAGAATTACATCGAATGTTTTCTTTGACAAGCACCTGGCTGACTATCCAACTTCGTTGAGATAAAAATACTACCCTACTACCGTCAATCACATTTAGATAAGAGCACCTGATTCCACATTCATTTCCCTATAACGAGAGTTGTTTTTTTTTAATAAACATCGTACATCGTAAAGCTACCGCCGCACTCTAGTTTTACTAGACCACCATTTACATATGAAAGTTGAAATGAAAATGAATTCAATATCAATATTCGTCTATGAACAATAGGCTGTAGCATATCGAACAGAGTTTCTTTTATATTTTAAGCTTTGTGAAACTCTTACGGTACATGCGTAAGTTTTCTTAACTTCTCCCTTTTTTCCCTTTGACTTTGCTAACCCATTTACTCCTGCCTCGGAAGTGTTATTCTAAAACAAAAATTCGTAAAAAAAGGAGTAGTCTTAAGTCTAATGGTACGCACTACGGAGAAGAAGAGCATAATTAGTTAGATACGTCCGAAAATTGACAACAACTAGTTTGTGCTTCTTAATGAGCTTGAGCTTGGTTTTTGGTTTTATCTTATATATCACTTCAAGTTAATTTTAATATGCTTTTCTTTGTAAATTCAATTGAAAACTATTCGAGAGATCTGTTTAATGAACGAAGTCGACCTTCTTTAATTTTAATTTTTAAACGATTCTTAAATGACTGATAGAAGTCGGCTTTCTTTAATTAAGTAAGGATGAGTTAAACACAACTAATTTTCTTTAAATTTTTGTTCCTTCGAACAACTTATACTGCACAACTTTCTTTTAGTATGCTAACATTTTTCCTTAATTTGCAAAATTGTAGAACATAACGCAGTTTAATATGTAATAACATTTTCCGTACAGTTGCTTTTTTTTTTCTTTTTTCGAACGAAAACAAATCATTCAAGCATTACCAAACATGCATACGCATCGACAACCTAAAGTTACTTTACTTTACTTTATTCGCTTATTACATAATTCCTTAACAAACCATATATATATATATATACAGCAAAGAAAGCGAAAGTATACTTTTATATAAAACAAAAAAAATTATATTAAATAAATTCAAATTGAAAGCAAAAAGAAAAGCAGTACCTGAACAGAATAGTTTACAAATATTATTAAAAAAAAAAAAAATTAAAATATTTACTAACTGTTTTTGCCGAAATTATGGTCACACTACAAATACTTATGTTTCCAAATATTTATTTAATTATTTCTTAACTATCAATCACAATAAATTTTTAGCTTCGATTTAAATTACCAAGTGTGCCATATGTTATTGTTTTTGGCTTCACAGTTACAAACAATTCGAAATCATTTCCGTCAACAATACGTACGGCATGGTATGGTAATGTAAATACAATAAATACACTCGTTGATGAGTTGATGAGTTAACTCTACATAATTTTTCGCATGACTTTACAAATTGAAATGTTTGCTAGTTGTTGCTGTACGTGCAGGTAGATTGTGAGGTTAACCACTAATATTAACTAATATTTACTGATTGTTGTACTATTAATGGTTTTCTGTGTTTTGTTTTTATCTTCAACTTCGCTCATTCATTGCATACCAGTGATTCATATGTTAATAAACTTTTCATTCATTATTATTTACTTTTGGTTTATCTTGTTTATTTACGTTTCTTTTTATGTTTCTTTTTTTTGTTTTTAATTTAATGATGATTTTGATAGGCCTTCTCACATGTCTTACACCTTTTTTAGATTATTGTTGCTATTTCCAATTCAGAAATAAAATTTTTCAACACTTGCTTATATAGGAAGCGTTATTTTTTAGGGTAAAAAAGTCATAGCTTACGACTGTGGTTTAAGCAGGTCTAACATTAAAAACATTTGTGGCGCCCCATAAATGTATCCAAAGCTTCGTAATAAATAATTTAAAAAAATGTAAAGTTACAAATGTAGTCAAGTAGGCAGATTATTCAAGTCACGAAACAAAAAACAGGATTTTACAAAAAGATTGAGAACACAACCTTAATCTGAAATGAAAATATCTTCTATAAGAAACCCCTTAATTATCTTACGTTACTATATCATATTCGATTGGTGATGCGGGGTACATTAAGGCTATGAGGGTGTATTTAACATTAGGGAAAATGTACCCATTTTTTTTCCTTAATTTGTTCGACTTTTATAAAACTATAAAAAGCTCAACTCATTGCCGTCCTATCAAACGAATGTAATAGATATCGCACTTAAATTTTGTATTTTATATGATTCTGGGTTTATTGTATTATTCGGTACACTATTTATTTTTATTTATTCTATTGTTGTGAAAAACTTTTACCTATCTCTTTCGAAAATTTTAAAACAATTGTTGTCTCTATTTACAGATCTGTTTAGCTACACTGCTAGTGGCTTCCAATGTCTACGCTGGTGATACTGCTGCTAAAAAGTCGGCGGCGGTTTCGTCTTCGACTTCCTTGGATAGTGGCAAGAAAATTCCTTTAGAAAAGAAACTTGATAAGCGTGGCCTACTTGACTTGGGCTATGGCTATGGACATTCCGGTCTTGATTTAGGCTACATAGGCCACGGTTCCATTACTTCTGGTCACGGCTATGGTGGGTATGGAGGTCATGGAGGCGGTGTATTGGTCGCTCACTCGGCTCCTTCCTATGTCGGTGTTTCGGCACATGCCGCACCCGCTGAATTTCTTATTAGCAAAATGGCTGATGTGCACAAAACCATAACGATTACCAAAGGTGTACCTTATCCAGTACATGTTGATCGTCCCTATCCGGTCGTACACGAAAAACGTGTGCCAGTTGAAGTTAAAGTACCGGTTCCACAACCTTATGAAGTAATCAAAAAAGTTGCTGTTCCTGTCAAGGAGTATGTTAAAGTACCTATTCATGTACCACAACCTTACGAGGTAATCAAAAAGGTGGAAGTACCAGTACATGTACCTGTTGATCGGCCAGTCCCAGTAAAGGTGCCAGTACCACAACCCTATGAAGTGGTTAAACATGTTCAAGTGCCAGTGCAGGTACCAGTGCCACAGCCCTACGAAGTGGTTAAGCATGTGCAAGTTCCCGTAAAGGTCCCTGTACCGGTGCCGCAGCCTTACGAAGTCATTAAGCATGTTCAAGTGCCAGTGCATGTACCAGTCGATCGCCCTGTACATGTAACTGTTCCTAAACCTTATCCCGTACCTGTGGAAAAACCGTATCCCGTGGTAGTAGAAAGGAAAGTACCGGTACAAGTACCTGTACGTGTAGATAAACCGTATCCAGTAGCTGTGGATCGTCCTTATCCTGTTAAAGTACCAGTTGCCGTTCCGCAACCTTACACCGTAGAAAAACAGGTACCATACACAGTTGATAAGCCAGTGCCAGTACCAATCAAAGTGGCAGTTGATCGTCCTTATCCCGTGCATGTCACTCGACCTGTACCAGTAGCCGTTGAAAAACCCGTTCCAGTACCAGTTGGCGTACCTTACGTTGCCGGCCATTCTGTAGTGCAACATGGAGCAGTTGCTTACGGTGGTGGTGGTGGTGGTGGTGGCGGTGGTGGCGCCATTCTGTTAAGCGGAGGCGGCGGTGGTGGTCACGGTTTCTCGTCTAGCGGTTTGGGCTTCTCTTCCTATGCCGGGCATGGTCACAGTGGTGGTGGCGGTGCTCTCATCTATGCTGATGTCGGTCATGGCGGTCATGGCGGTTATCATCACAAAAAGAAATAAATAATAACGCAGACAGAATTCTACCAAACAAACTCTTTAGGCTCTCACTCATTAATTCAACCAACAACAAATTTTTATATAAACGATTGTTGTTATTGTAATTGAAGCGGAAACCCTAGCAATTTTAATTTTAATCTTCAATTATCCAAAACCCATGCTACGAACTCTTATTATGTGCGGACACCACAAAATATCATCTTTATGTGGTGTGAGAAGCGAATAATTCCTTTGCAACGTAGAAAAAACTGAGATAAATAAATATTTTCCCCTAGGTATGCTTCTTCGACTTATATCTTTTATTACACAGCTTTACATAATGCGAGACGCATTGAAATTGTTTAAGAATTTCTCTGAAAATTTTAAAAACACTTCTTCGAGACAAGAACAGCAGCCTGCCATTAGAATTAAGTCATAGCAACATCATCCAAAGGAATTTAGCTTAAACACAACTCACAGCTTGACCAAAATTGTATAAATGTTTGTATAAACAAAATTAAATTTTAGTTCTGTCTCTGTTAAAAGAAAAGTTCATTTAAGAGTTAATTCCTTTAAGTATTTTCTTTAAATCCTTAAAGCCAATCGTGATATTCTTGTGTATAGACTTTTGCTTTCCGATTTGAAGAAAATAAAAAAAAAAAACTTTTATGACCGTGTGTGTCAAAAATTCTCCACCCCTTGAATTCTTAAACAATTTTATATGATCCGCTGTGTGTTCCGGCTTTAGTACACAATTTGTATTCAAATTTTTGATATATTTGTAAAAGTATAATATTTTTTTGTTTTTATGTATGTCTTTCATTTGTAAATTAAGATGTGTAAAAATTGTTTTATATTATTATAATTGTAAATAATTATTAAGTAAACAAAAAAAGAAAAATAAAAGAAAATGTGTAAAAAAGACAATGATAAAAATATATTAAATAAAATGAAATGAAAAATCTTTAGAAAAAAGTAAAAATTGTTTCAAAAAAAATATTATTGCTTTTGGCAGCTCCAAAAATGCAAGATAATCTTCAAAAGGTTTTCATAAGTACAAACTTCTGATGAATTCATTAAACGCTGAATCATAAATACTTTTAAACGGTGGGGTCGAAACAAATAACAGCCGGCTTACCTTGACAGTTATCTCGAATATGTATCACCTTAAGCACGTATCGCAAAATCTTTGTCAGTCAGTGCCAATTGTATATTGGAATTTAATACGAGTTTCTGCTTCATTTTAGATCTTTCCGATTTTTTCTTCCCGATTTCATTTCAACATTTTGTTGTTTTCTGTTTTCGTTTGTGTTTCTTTTGTTATAAGAGGATGGCCAAGTCTAAAATTTTATATTAAAGATTTAAGCAAGCATGTAAGAGCTAAAACCCCAAGGTTTCCACCATCCTATTTCTCCCGACTGCTGGATGGCCTAGATTTAGCGATGGATAGAAAGTGTTTTACTATTCTTGAAAAGTCCCGCGTAAAGGCGCGTTGATTCGAAATTTTTGTTTGTTTTTTAATTTTAATTCCTGAATTAAGTGGACCATTGCGACTAGTGCCCGTTTTTAGTTGCCCAGTAAATCACTCTTAAAATAATATTTTTTAATTTTAATATTAAATCTAAATAGGTTAGAAACATTAACAAAGACTTCATTCCTTGATAGTTCCTTGATGAGAGAATAGGCAAAAGTAGTAGTAGTAGTAATAGTAGTACTAGTGGTGGAACCCAAAATAGAAATCCACGACATAACCTAAAAATGAATCAGAACCCAATAACCTATAATTCTTTTCTTTCTTAGATATTGTACGGGTTGCAAAAATAAAATATTTAACAAGTATTTTTAAGTTCGCCGATTGCATTCTTCAGTATCATGCATCAAAATGAATATGATTAAGTGCCCACACAATATGTGTGTGAGAAACATTTCTCACAAGACAATTTTGCAGAGAATTTCACTTCTTCCGCAGAATGCTACTCTATTCCTTCTATGTTTTATTTATAAGCTTTTCCATTGTTTTAGATTACGCTATAGTACTTATTTTTTGAGCATTCAATCAACTTATTTCCTTATAACGTTTCTAACAATATTCGTAGGTACAAATTATTTTGATAACTTGTGTCAAATATTGTCAATCAAGGCCGTAGAGATCGTAAAAATCTTAACATAAGATACCGCAAGCAGACAATAATTTACGTAAACTGCTTCTGTCGATAAACAAAGACAATAAAAATAAATAAAAAGAAAGTTACATAATTATATTTGATACAAGTTTTTAAAAATATTGACACAATATTGATATACAATAAAATCGAAATTACCTGGAAACTGGCTTGATGATGGAAAAACTTAATGTGGGTCATCATCAACATGACTTTGTAGATAGGGAAAAAACTTACATATTTGTAAAAAACAAAAACCTATATTTCGGCTTAAGGTAACTCATAAATGTTAACAACCTTGGGTAAACGTGTAAAATCGCATATGCTCCTCTTCTTAGTTTCGCGCATCTTAGGCGACCTATCGGTGTTATCACCGCACCTCGTGCAGGGTAATAAAATATGAAATTCACAGATACTTTTTATTTGTGTGCATACCGGTTGCCGTCCCGGTTGCCCGGATTTCGACATTCTGATTTAGTTCGAAAAATTTACATGGCAACTCATTGCTATTGATAGTGAACCTTTATATGGTTTTCGATGAAAATTTGTTTATAATAATAATCTGACATAGAGTTTGGACCACGGAGGCGTAGGATTTATAGTAATTGTTATGAGAAATAAATCTTTACATGGCGAACATGCCTAATTTTTGATATTTTATGATGACAATTGGTTCATAAGAGTAAATTGATTTAAAACTTAATTGTATCGAATTTGGATCCAGTAGGCCTATTTTTTCGATGTCATCTTGTACAAAAATTGTTATGAAATATTAAATGCCAAGAAATCGATTTAGATTACGTAGGTATATATTTCAGGGCCTACCGTACACAAAGACTCTCTCGAAAAGCAAGTCCTTCTATGGCAACAAAGTCTACTTTATAGTTTTTTAAGATGGAAGCAACTGTCAGTAGTTAATGTATTCGCCATCCTGCAATATAAGCAGTGCGCCCTTACATAAAAGTAATGTATAATTTTTGGTGTATTATCATGAAAGGGTATGAATAACTTTATTAGGCAAAGTATTTAATGGTCGGTAAGGTCGCCCTTGCTCAGCTTTAGTGATCTTAGTTTTTTTATTACGCGATAAGTTTGACTATGCAGTAAACTCAAGAAATTCTGATATCGCATTGCATCTAAAAAACTGTAACTTAGTGCTTTTGGATTAGTCCTTATGAAGTCATTTGAAGTCGTAGGTATATATAATAAACCAGATTCTGTGCTTGCATTAAAAAGGTATATTGAACGCTTTACTGTTGAAATTAGGTCAAATTTAGTGAACAAAGTGCTAAACAGCTACGGCCGCCACGTTCGTTTCAATAAGAGCAGCTGGTCCAGCAATTTAAATGATAATCTATTTAAAATTTAATTGTATCAAATACAAATAGTAAACCAATATCCAGATGAGAAGTAACTTTGATAGGAAATTCAGACTCTTAAATAAAAATTGTATATTATTTATTGATTCATAAAGTAGACAATATAGGATTATGTCCGGAATAGTTAGGACGTAAATGACCGCCAAGGCCTTAATGGTACAGGAGTACTCTGACTTTGTTCGGAAATTCAACATATGTTTGAGACACATGTGTGAGACTTCTCCTTTCTTTTAAATCGTATATAAGTCTTGCCGAACTTGCAAAGTTAATTGCATCAAATATACTTGCAAATAAAAAAAAAAAACTTTCATCTAAATTTTTTCTCTAAAGAAAATCAATTTGTGTACCACTGATGTCGAAAATCCTTCTATTTTGATTTAGGCTACATTTTGTAAATAATATCCCGACGCTTTGAAGCATTTAACTCACATTTAAATTATATTAAATCAAAGAAGAAATTGATTTTTTTTTGTTTGTATTGAATTAGAAAAGTGCTTTAAAAATCGACTAAAATAATTCCATATCCCATCCTGAAAACATATTCATTTCTTATTGAACTTTGGATATGCAAAGCAAGGAAAAAATATTTGAAAAGTAAATAAAAACAAGTTTTACATTAAAATGTTTTGATTAATTATTAATAAATGAATTTTGAATTAATCATTTTGAAGTCAATTTAAAAATAATAACAAAAAAAATTAACTGGTATTTAGATTATATCCAATAAATCCAATCCGGTTGCCTCTTATGACGATCATAAAGAAAAATCACAAAAGACTTTCTTTTTGCGAGTTTCGTCAGGGTCGTTTAGTGGAGGGGATGAATTATTTTTTAAAATACTTTTGTTCTACGAGTCTAGAAAATATTTTGCAAAAATTTATAATAACACCAAATGTAGGGATTACATGATTGACTAAATGAATGTCTTATGATCAACAAATGGTCTTATAATTGAACATAATTCCGGTTTCATAATCATTACATGGTTTAGTATGAGAGAGAACTTTGTTATTTTGTTTTTGCTTTCATTTTTATTCATTATATGCAAAGCACAGTTCTCTTATTAATGTTACAATTAATGTTTTGAATTAAATTTAAAAATAAACTTTGGCCGTTGAATGAATGTGTGTTGAGAACAACAAATAAAAAGCAAGATAAAAAAAACTTGTTCAAGGTCGTTTAGTTACACCAGTGATCACTAATGGTCTCGATTTCTGTGCATATAAATGGATTTCTTTTTTTTCTTTTATGAAAAGAAAATTTTTTAGCCGTAACTTGATTACGGATATGCTTTATTACACGTTATTATTATTTTTTTTTTTTCTAATGTAATCATGTTTAGCCAATAATTGCTTATTAGCCAGAGTAGTAACTAAAGCAATAAATACAGAAAAGCCCCTTTGTTGTGATAGTTATCAGACTAATTACAGTTGCTCTAGCAAATTGTAGAAAAAATAATATAATTACAATTATAAAGTTTTCGATATATTTTTTCGAATAAAATTAATAAAAAAGAGTAAAAAAATCTTAATTCTTTAAATGATTGATTTTAGCATTTAAAAGAAAATCCGCGAGACGCAAATAAACGTTCGTATTCTTCGTTTTCACCGTGGACAGGTTCAATTCAATAAACAAGTAAATTATTTCAAAAGTTTATTCACAATCATTTACATGCAAAGAAGTTACATATGCGACTTTGCAAATGGCTTGGCTTAGCTTTTGTGCTATACTTCATTTCGATATCTGCGGCAAATTGCAAGGGTTTTCTTCAAATTCCTATTCACGGCTTCACGAAATCGATATATAGCAATTAGAATAAAGAGTTCATTAGACTTTTCTATATCCTTCTATTTATCCATCTCCAACCCTACTCAAAATCCATAGAGATATGCCGAGCAGTGGGATGGTATGAGGGAACAGGAAGGCGAGCGCAAACAGGACGAAAGATAGAAGGAAAAATCGAATGAAATAGTATAGCAAGGATATAGAAATATATATATATATATCCGTAAGTTAATCTACGATACTTGCTTGCATAATTGTTACAAGCTATGTCGCATTAGCAATCACACGTAATTTTAGAAACTACGGTCTACTTGTTTGCTCTGCAACAAAAGCGAAACTACCAAAAAAATTTAACATCTGCCACCAAGCCGTAGACAACCAATAAATTTATGTGTCTGCATGTACAAAAACAAGCATTATTAC